GGAGAGTGGTTTCTGGTGGGTTTGGCTGGGGCGTGGCTATCTCTATATAATCTGCCCCTGAACACAATAAAGGGGGCATTCTTAGGGAATTCAAGGATGGCCCGTGTCACTGTCTCTCTGTCTGTGTGTGTCTGTGTATTTTAACCTCCAGGCTCCTTGCCCGAAGCTCGCGAACTGGGTGCCAGCGCACAGAGCACAGACACGGGGGCGCGGTGTGTGGCAATTCACTGGTAATTTTATTGATCAGTTCCTTATATTCTCTCTGACTCTCCAGACCTAACCAAGATTGTCCTGCCCTTATGGTAGTATTCTGTAGTAATAAGGAGTGGCGGGGCTGTGTCCCCAGCACCCCGGCTGCCTGCTCGGCTAGCTTATGCCCCAAAATAACAACACACAAACTGTATTCTTTTCAACACTGCTTGGCCCATTCTCTTCTAGGCTAATTCTCACATATTAATTTAGCCCATTTCTAATCATCTGTGTGTAGCACCCCAAGGTGCGCTTACCGGGGAGATTCTAGCCTAGTCCATCCTGGGTCGGAGCTTCATCCAGGGAGCGGGGCATGGCGTCTCTCTCAGGCGTCTGCTCCCGAGAGGAGAGCTGTCGAGACTGAGCTCACTTCCTCTTCCTCCCAGCGTCCTGTTCTGTTTACTCCTCCCACCTATCCTCTAACCAATAAAATGGGCCAAGGCAGTTCCTTTATTAGCCAATGACCTTCCTCCATCAGTATTCTACAGTTTACTTGACTGATTCTGAATCTTTGGGATGCATATAAGGGGTGATCCATCCTGTTCATTCTGTGTACCAAGGATGGAAAAAAAGTAAAGCACTGCTCTCTTTGAGACCTGAAAATTAGATGGTACTTACCCATGATGCTTGAGGCATAGTCTAAGGTCTTTGAACTATATGTGTCTGACCCTTAAATGAAATTGTTTTAAACAAAACCCTGGCTCCAGTTAGTAGCAGTTGAAAAGAGGAGCACAAATTCCAGACACAAACTGAGAAAAAGAAGCTCAAATGATTCTGATCCAGTTATACTTGTGTTAATTTACACTGGACTCAATCACAAAAATATCTCTCATGCAGTAGGCTCACATATTTTTCTGAAACAATCTCATTCTGATAGAATAAATACAGGACACCTCAAGAAGGCATATCGGTGACTTCATGCAGTGAGAGCTGGAGAGAAAAACAAAGAGAAGGCTATTCAAGAGATAAAATGTCAAGGAAACACATTGTGCACAAAGAAACCCAGGTAGCTGAAATTAAACAAATGAGGGTCAAGGGGATGGCTTAGTGGGAGAGATGCTACCACCACACCTGACAACCTGAGTTCAAGACTCAGGATCCACACAGTGGAAAGAACAAATAGACTGCTATTAGCTATCCTCAGACATCTCCACATGGACTGTGGCACATGAGTTCTCCTTACATATACGATAAGTAATAAATGTCAAAGAAATTTTAAGAAAATAATAAACCTTCATAAGACTGACTCTACCATGTTGTTGAATATTACTTTAACTGTGTAAAAATGTATTTCATTTTTATATTCCTTTTGGTTAACAATGTAAATACATGTGTTTAATTGTGTAAAGATGTGTGGCTGTTGTTTCATGTTGCCTATCTAAGACACTTGATTGTTCTAATAAAAAGTTGAAGGGCCAATAGCTAAGCAGAGAGGAGGGGAGAACAAGGGAGAAAAAGAGGGAGAAACCAGTGCCAACCAGGCAGCCGTCAGACAGCACATAGAATAGAACATGTAGAAAGAAAGGTAAAAAGCCCCAAGGCAAACGTAGACAAAGAGAAACAGGTTGAATCAAGAAAAAGAGCTAGCCAGAAATGAGCACAGCCTAGGCTAAGCATACATAACTCATAAGTCTCTGTGTCATGATTTGTGAGCCGGTTGGTGATCCAAAAGAAAAAGCCTGGTACAACCTCAGGATCAGTTATAGAATACGTGCTTTTAGTCCCACAGATGGGTCTCTAGTTTAGCCTAATCCCATGGAGTCTCAAACAGTTAACTGCATTTGGCTTCAGACAAACATTGAAGAACTGCCAGTTTATATACCAACTGAGAATTACTCTGGGTTGTGATGCTCAGAAGACATGTCCATATTGAAAGCACATCTCCATCAACATGGCATGGTCAACATGTCCACCAACTGGGCCGGATGACGTCGCTTATCACTACAACGAATCTCTGAAAAGATTTCAGTAAACAACTGACAATATCATGAAAAAAAACACACCAATTTTTAAAAAAAATATTCCATTCATCACAGAAATTTCAAATGGACATCACACATTGGCTCATAGCAGCCAACTCTATGGCAGGCCCACATTATGATCTCTTACTAGGACGCTGGTTTCCTATTAGATCATGGAAACACAGAGAACCGTGTGTAAATTACGCTGGGATCAGAAGCCCCGTGCTGACTTCATAATAAAATTCCTCTAGACTTCACTGGCTCCTAAGCACTCACCTTTAACAGAGGAGGGTTTGTCTCCATGGTCTGAGGAAACTTCTCAGCCGAATATGAAACTCAACTTCCTTTCTGTCAGGCGTCCTAACATCCTAGTCTTCTGGTCAGAACTAGCTGTGTGTTACTCTGCTGGGCTTTTCCTATTTTCCTTCTTCCCACCGCCCATATTTCTACTACACTTCACTTCTCAGCATGTTATCGTCTCGTCCGCCCTAAGGTGAGGCGTCATGCCTCCTCTTCTGCAGCAACACTGAACCTTTTTACTTGACTTTGGAAAACTGCCTACATTCTGCGATTTCTCTTTAACAGTGAGATGACTAATGCCATAAAATTATTGAGGTATTTGAAACTGGAAAATATAATCTTCACCAGTTTAACTAATATAGATCATTAACTATTAGATAAACTTATTTAAATGCTATTGAACTTAACTACTTGGTAAGTAAGGTGAGAATACTAAATTTTCATTTATTGTGGAGTCCAGACAGCTTTGTGTGACCTCATAGAAAACACGATAATTTGAAACTTAACATGTCAGGGAGCATTCTCAAAGTATATAATATATGCAGTGTGTTTTCATTATCTTTATTGATTGCTAAGAACTTTTTAATCTATCCCAATAAGAGTTTTTACAATAACCCAATAAAGTCACTGCTTTTATAGACCAATATTTTGTATCTTTGTAAAGGAACTTGGAAGAGGCTAATCGCCTTACTCAGGAACACTAAAGATTAGGCAACAGGGTGTGGCCAGATCCCTTGTACTTCTCCACTACTCTGCCTTTCACCTTAACTTCTGCACTTTAGAGTGCTAACTTCCAAACTTCCATCATTTATTGGCATTATTTGTTTTCCTTGCTTAGAACCCGACAGTGGCTCAAGGTTGGAAGACATCTGTTGGTAGCTGCTACCTCCACAGTCTCTATCTCTCCTTGATCTCTCCCTCTGCAAATTTCCTCCTCCGGGATTTGAAGTGAACCCACCAGTGAATAACCTACACTCCCTAGAAACATCTGAAGAAAAGGTTTTGGGCCAGTTATCACGAATATCACACGTATGATCCCTGCTAAGGAAATAGAGTTGATTATCAAGGTAACTGTGAGTTCTGTTGACATTTTGCACACTGGTTTCTGACACAAAGCAAGTGCAGGAGCGGTCACACCCCCTCCCATCTTAGAGTCCAGGAGACCTTAAGAAGAAACAAGTCCTCAGGGCTGTGACCCATCTTACCCAGCACCTCCTGTGGGTCAGGAGAGTATGAATGCCTGTGATGGGGAAGAGGAGTGGCCCTCCCATGAGCACAGGTGGATCAGCTACAATCTGAGTTTTCAGAGGCCATTGGAGGTAACTTCCGTTCTCTAGAGGCAATCTTGGAGTACGTGATGGTGCTAGGACAAGATCTATACAGCGGAGCATAGGAGAAGCAGCAGGGAACAATGTGGACTCCTTCCTTTCTCCACCATCATGTCAAGGTCTCTGACCGACCAGCCCTATCCAGATCTCTGCTTTCTAACTGCTTGTTGGGCATCCACATGCGATACTAGACGCCAGAACATTGGTGATCCTGAAAATCCTCCCTGGAAAGGTGGAACTTCCTCAGCTCTGGCACTGGGTAAGAAAGACAACTCTCTCTTCATCACAAGATATGAGAGGAAATTTGCTAGCTCCAATAATCACTAAAATACACAAGTTTGAATTTTATAAATTTAAGTTGAAAGAAAGAAAACTCAGAAATAATATTAAAAAATTTTGAAACAGTTTGGTATAGCAAGCAGAGAAGGACAAAGAAAAATGATAATTTTATAAATTTGTAACATGTTACAAGGTGAAAGTTTTCAGAACTTATAAACAACAGCTAAAGATTATTTGAAAAAAATAGGTCTGTAGGGATGGCTCCGTGTTTAGGAGCATTTGCTGCTCTTGCAGAGGACCCAGGTTTAGTCCCAGAACCCACATGACAGCTCATAGCTTTCAGTATCTATAGTTCTAGGGGTTTTGACTGCCTATTCTGATCTCCAGAGGCAGCAGATAACACATACATACATGCAAGCAAATTACTTATATTATAAAATAAAAATAAGTAAATATTTTTCTTAACGAAAGTGAAATGAATATGCCAACCCCTCCCTCAATGAGCGTTTGACCGCATACACATGTGCACACTACTTAGGCGTGTGCACGTCTGCTGCCAATTCATGAGAAAATGTAAACTAGTAAAATACTGAAATATCGATTTTTTTCCCTGTTAGATTGGGACTAGGAAATATGAGGAAAGCATCGTAGTGCGTGTATGAACAAAGACTGTAAAAACTCCAGCAGTCTATAAACTCACAAAGTAAAGATCTGCTTTTCCCCCAAGGCTCAACAAACCCAGAAGTAGCTAAGTGGCCACATTGACATCACAGATGGAGGATTCTGGTCTCTACCTCTCTGGTGTCGAATTGAGCAGATGTCTTCCTTCCAGTGAGAGAGCTGCTGCTGTCAGGATGTGGGAAGAGATAGAGGAGAGAACGTGAAATAACAAGAGAATGAAAACTATGGTACACACCAAAACTTGATTGCCTTATTTATAGTGATATTTCATTTGTATTTTAATAAATAAAGCTTGCCTGAAGATCAGAGAGTAAAACAGCTGCACTGATCAGCCATAAGGACCAGGCAGGGGTGACACATACCTTTAATTCCAGAAGCCACATTAGTTTGCCGTAGAAACCGGGCAGTAGTAGTGAACACCCTTAATACCAGCCCTAGAGAGGAATATAACCCAAGAGAAGACAGCTCTCGGAGACAGTCTCGTTCTGAGGATTCCTGGAGGCAGGATTGCCACTTCGAACTGAGTTAGAGGTTAAGAGCCAAAGACTGGTTGTTTGGCTTTTCTGACATTCAGGTTGAACTTCAATATCTGTCTCTGGGTTTTTATTAATTACAGTCCGGTCCAGGGTACACACTTTCTGAAAACAGCAGGCTCCAAGCTCAGAACACAAAACCCTTTGTTCTAGGAGGTTACTAACTTGTAAAATGCCCTCCTCTTTTCTTTCCTGGCCTCAGAAAGGTAAATACTCAAACAGATGGGAAACAGAAGAAGATAGCAAGCATCATTATTAGCTGGAAGGGAGGGCTGCCACTGAGCACACAGGCCAACACCATGATGGCAGCTGTGAGAACACAGGAACATCCATGGAATCTTGAGGGCAACAGTCTCCCCCAGTTCATATCAGTGTGTGTCTTCTCTATCTATAGGGCTTGTCTCTGTACCTTAGCATGGCAGCCCTATAAATGCCAGCTGACTCCTCACATCCCCAAGGTTGGCTTCTGCTGGTGCTTCTTCCAGGTGACTCTCAGCCATGAAGACACTTGTCCTCCTCTCTGTCCTTGCCCTGCTGGCCTTCCAGGCCCAGGCTGATCCTCTCCCGGAAGCAGCTGAGGAGACTAAAACTGACGAGCAGCCAGGGGTAGAGGACCAGGATGTGTCCATCTCCTTTGGGGACCCAGAAGACTCAGCTCTTCAAGATGGAGGTGAGTGCTGGTGCCCAGTATGATAGTGGTTGGAGTCTCCTGAGAGAGGGTGGAAGATGGGACTGGAATCCTGTCAAGAATTGTGTGGTTCGAGTCGGGTTCTCTGTTGGTCCTCTAGATCTTCACTGTCTTATTTGGAGGAGTAAGTAAGAGACATAAAAAAAAATGTAAAATTGATTTTAAGTTTTTGAATCTAAACATTTATCTGTGAAATGGTTTAAAAATATAGAACACATTGATTAGCACTTTGTCTATCCAATTGACAACTTTGTTATAGAGATAAAAATCTATTTTGTTTAAAAGAATAGATTTAGGAACCAAATGCCTGTGTATGAGTGTGTTGGGTCAGGAAGACACTAAAAGTTGAAGGACAGTGAAATGGGTATCAAGTCATGCATGCGATCAACCCTTGTTAAATGTGTTCTTTCCCAGTGTTTGAAGTTGCTCGTGGTGCTGGGTATGATGTTACCAATGCAAACAAACCGGCTCTGTACCGTGTATCATGCATCTTCATAGTGTTGTGCACTATTGCACACTGCTGGCTACCATACTTACTGCCTGGTGTTCTGTTTCCTCAGCCACAAGAAGTGTGAGCTGCTACTGTAGAAAGAAATCCTGCAAACATTTTGAACAAGTCTCTGGATTCTGCAACAAATGGCCAGCTCGGACCAGAGAGAAGGTCACCATGTGCTCTGAGACCTCTCACCTCATTACCCTCGTACTTAGCCTCCATCATTTCTCTTTCTCCAATAAATTTCCTTCTGGGAAAAAGAGTCTGTTTTTATGTTTCTTTGAGGCTTTCTATGTGGCTTAGTCAGGACTCTGCTGAGCTAGGTAGCAGAATCTTCAATGAATCTCTTATAAAAGAAGTATTGGCTACATTTTAGTAATCATTTCAAGCGTGAACAGGAGGTTAGATAAAAAAAAAAATCACATCTCGGTGACTCTGCTCTAGCTTCTCCTGTCTATCAACTGCTGTCCTTTACATGGGACTCACCCTCAGAACCATGTCCCACATTCCCACGATCCCTTCTTCTATTGAAGGACATTTAGCTGTTTCCATTCTCCAGCCATTGTGAGCACAGCAGCAATGCACATGACTGACAAGTATCTGTGGAGCAGGATGCTGGGTCATTGGGTGTTTGCCAAGGAGCGGTGCAGCTGTGCCATATGGAGATTTCCTCATGGACTCTGAGAAGTCTCCGCACTGGTTTCCATGGTTTCTCACAAATTTGCATCCCAGCACAGTGAATGAGGGCTCCCCTTTCCCTACACCCTCACCCACATTTGTTATCGGTTGTTTTCTTGATCTTAGCCATTCTGACTGAGATTAGATAAAACTTTTGAGAACTTTTAATTTACATTTCCCTGTTGACCTTGGTGAACATGTTTAAATACACATCTTCGCTATTTTTATTAGTTCTTTGAAAGTTTCCAAAAACCTGTTAACCTGTTGGCAGAGTACTTACCTCTCCCCTAACTCTTCCCAGGTCTACCCCTTTCCCTACCAACCCAAGTTCGGGTCCCTTTTTTCTTTTTTAAATCCATCTGGACCAATTTGTGCTGTCCATATGTTTTTAGATGTGAGGCTTTTCACATGACCAATTTACCAGGGGATGCACTCAGAAAGAGCCATCCCCTCTCTAGCTAACAACTGGCAATACAACCCCTGCTAGGGCAGGGGTTTTTGTACCCACTCCCATCTCCATGTTGGAATCTGCTCAGACTTGAGCTTGCGCAGTACAGGCACACCACCTTGAATATTCCTAATCTCATTTAAGACATTTTTGTTTCTTTTTTTTTAATAATGTGTTTCCTTTGGCCAGGTGTTGTGGAATAATCTTTTTTAAAATATTTATTTATTTATTATGTATACAGCATCCTGCCTGCATGGAAGGTTTTCAGTTTTTTTGTATTAGTTAGTACTCAGTCTGCATGGAAAGAATAAATTGTAGTTCCTGGTATACTCTTGTTATTGCTCATTTTGCATTTTGGTTAAGATTAGTGTTAAGAACTATCCATAAATTTAATAAATTAGCACCATTTCCTAGGTTTTACAAAATTTTTGAAACATTACAGATTTCTCTAGCATCGATTCCATAGTTCATAAGTCCTCTATCATTCCCACTGACTTTGTAAACCTAGGACGCTCTGTATTAGTGATCTCCTGGCATAAACACAGGCCTTCTACACCACGTCCTGAATCAAGATCACTCTCTCCGAGCAGAGGTTCATGAACTTTGCTGTCCGGACATAAACAGCATGTGCATTTGCCCAACAAGAGCACAGGAAACAGGACTGGAGAGGGCACTGATGAGTCAGACATTGAGAAATGATGGAGGAAGGTCATTGGTTAAATAAAAAGAAACTGCTTGGGAGGAAAAAAAAAACTGGGAGGAAGAGGAAGAGGAAGTGAGTCTGAGCTCCTCCCAGCATTCTGTTCTGTTTACTCCTCCCACCTATCTTCTAACCAATGAGGGCCAAGCAGTTTCTTTTTATTTAACCAATGACCTTCCTCCATCAGAGAAGTGACTTTGGGGACACCAAGGACAGCTTCCTGGGATATTCCTGTTTCTTCTCTTCTCTTCTGTGCACAGCCTTCTTTCCATCCTCAGCAAACACATAAACCTTTTAATCAAAGATCCAAAGTTGATCCTAGACTATTATCTCTTATCTTAACCTGACCAGTTTCTGCACTCAGAAAGCTAATTTTTCCCTCTGCTTCAAAGACATTCAGGCTGCTGTCCATTGCGGTGCAGAACCCCAGGATGGCCTCAGACTCAGTACGTGCTTCCTTTCACCGTCACCTTGTACACGTAACACCAACATTTCTGGCTTTGTTTCTGACATTTATTAAAATTGTTCTTTTTTGCAATAAATTCTGATCACGGTTTTCCCTCTTGAATCTCCTCCCATATTTTCTCCTCCACTCCAACTTATTGCCTCCTCTCTCTCTGTTTTGAAAACAAACAGGCAAATAAAACAAACAAAAAGGAATGAAATAAACAAACAACAAAGAAAAAGCATGAGACACTCAAGACACACACGCAAACACAAAGAAAACACCTTAAAACACCACAGCACTGAAAACCATAACATACAAGCAAAAGTCCAGTAAGATAAAAATAGAATTTTTAAAATCCCTAATAAAGTGATAGGAGACAAAAATACCTCCAAAACACCTTTGAGTTGATTCGCGTCAACTTTTTTTAAGGAATTATTTTCTTTACTCAACTCTCATAGGACATTTCGGTTATGGGTGGTGCCGTGTGATAATTATGCTTTAGGCAATGGGGGGGGGGGCATTTATCTGAAGTGGGGCCTGAGAGAATGGGGTCCAAAGGTAGGCAGACTAAAGTCTCATGCCACACCCAACATTATTCAGAGCCCCAGACAATTTATATCCTGAGGGCTAAGAAAAGCCACAGGAGTAACGTTCACATGATTTCAAACTCTGTACAACCACAAGGACAAGCCACATTTGACAAAAATGTGTCTTTCCATAGGAGCTTATAAAGGATAGTTTAAACATTTAAATGAGTAACAGCAGGAAGCAATTAAGGACTAATCTGATGTAAACTCATTCCTACCCACCACACCTGGGATGGGCACCAAAACACATTCCAAGAACAGTTCGCGCTTTGAAGAAACCAAGGTCACAGGACTCTTGGTTTGCTGTCTTGGAGTTGCCACCCAAGCACTCATAATTCTCTCCACACAACACCATTCCTGGACTGTGTTCCACAATTCTCTTTTTCACTTGCCTCATATTTATCTCCAAACCTAAGACTGATCAACAACCAGGAAAAGACCAAGCACTGGCACTGCCCTTCTCCTTAGAAGCTCCCTTACTTTAAGCACAGACCTGGTGTCCGCACTGCAATGGCACTTCATGGCCAGATGGTGGCATTGCTGTCCAAAAAGTTTCCATAGCGTCTGTAGACAGGAAGGGTGATTCTCTGGAGAGTAGGGTTGGTAGCCCCAAGAAGGTGTGACCAAAGGAATGTATGAGTTAATGTATGAGTATTGAGTACCAACGAAGCTGTGTGTTTACAAAAACAAATGATGACCCTTGATATCCTTCAGAATTTAGAGAACTTGAGAGAAACTGTTGATCACATGTGGATAGCCCTGCCAGCTGTTAGCACTGTAGTGTGAAGAACTCATCCAGGTCCTACAGCTGTTATGTGGGAGTTTGGGGATAACAGATGCAGAACCCTTCACAGTGTTCTCACCATAGCGTTTAGCCACCCCTAAAGTTGTAGGAGGGGTAGATGTTCACGTCTCTATGAACGAAAGGCAACAAAAGGCAAGAACTGGGATTTATCCATCTCTTTTACAACGTGATTTGGTACATGTATACACCGTGAGGTGATCACAGTGCCATTTACATAACCATCATCTCTGAAATAAGCCTTCAAATGTCTCTTATTTTTTGAGAATAAAATACAATTACATCATTTTCTCCTCCCTTTCTTCCCTACAAACCCTTCCCTTCTCTCTTTCAGATTTATGGCCTCTGCTTTCATTAATTGTTGTCAGATACACATGTGTTTGTACATATGTGTTCCTAATTACATAAATATACCTTGCCTCCATGAATATGTTACTTTCATGATGTTTTCTGTGATGATCATTCATTATTGGATAAATAATTATCATGCTTTCCACCAATGAAGACTATTTCTACTATTATGTATTCTCTGGTTGTCTGTAGTTTTTGTGCAGGGCTGATGACTCCTGGATCTTCCCACATCCACTTCAGCATATCTATTGTTATTGTCCTTCTTCATCTCATGCTTAGGAAATCATTTTGGAGAGACTTTAAGGGTGTAACTTCTGACATTTTTTGGAGACACAATATATATAGCAAACTGCCTGATCATCTGTCTCTTCCAGTCTTCCTGCCCTTGAGCCTTAGGTGGGCCAGTTGTTTTGTAGATGTATCTGTTGGGACTGAACTCTACATAGTGCTTGGTTATGGTTTTCTGTAATGCTCTCCCTTGGTTGCAAAGAAATGTTTCCTCGATGAGTAGAAAGGAATACATTCATCTGTGAATATAAGAACAGATACTTAGAGTGGAGTTAGTCATTGTGCTGGCTTCGTAAAATGGTGGTCGTAGGTTTTCTGTAATAAGGAACTTACCTTCCACCACTAGAGGGCAACCAAGGACAATAGCAACAGACTGCTATTTAAGTAGTCTCTTGGATAACCCTAATCACCAACTCAAAAGCAGGCTTCCAATGCCTGGTATGGGAGATTTTTGTTAGAGAGTTTTTGGCTCTTGGAGGGAGATTTATCAGCCCAGATGAGAAAAATTCACCAAATCTATATGTGCATATTTATACAGATACTTATATGTGTTGCAGTCTTTTGTTTGCTTTTTGAGAATCTTTACTAATATGATTGCCAACGCTGTCTTAAACAAAACCAATATAATCTCAAGTCCTAAAATACAGATGTTTTCTTGGAGTCTTTTCAATAAAATTAAAACACTTTTGCGAAGAATTGGTGGCTTTCCTGAGAAGTGAGATGCTGTGAGTGTTTTAATATGGTGGGCTAAGAACTGTCTTTGAGAATGCTAAGAATGTAAGGGAAGGCAGAGTTGGGAGACAAGAAACACACACATACATACAAACACACATGCACGTACACACACACACACATACACACACACACACACACACACACACACACCGATCAGAGGTGCTCTTAAACTTTCCTAAAACTCTGCTTCTCAAGTGTGTGTTAATTCTTGATATTCTAGGATTGGGTGGCAGGATTTTGTTTAAAGGGTTGTCATTAAAGATTCTAGTGCTGATTTCCCAAGGAAGTCTCATTGAGTCTAGTAGCAGGAACCCAAGAGGACTAACACAGAGAACTGCTGCAGTGAATTTATTTCAAATAAGAAAATCAAGAACAAGTACAAGGATATTGGCAATTGGTTCTTGTTGGCGTCCTTGTTTGATCTCAGTTCTTTGTGCTCATGGGCAGCATTGTGGGCATGTTCTGGGTGATATTAGACAGGTGCCTCTCACATGTTGAGGATGAACACAGCGGGTTCAGCAGGAGCACCCCAGTCACTTGATAGACCTAGTGAACAGAGAACATGGGCACTGAGTGCTGGGTCAGACATGGATGATAAAGAGTATTGAGATGTTTTGTGCTGAATCAAATGTTATGACACGTGACTTCCTTGGACCCAGCTGTATTAACAACTCTGTCATCAGAAGTCAATACCTACAACAAGGGTTCATCACTTGGGACTTAAGACTTTGCTCAACAGTCTTCACTTCTGTGTACTCCTGGTCCTCCACACAGACACTCAACTTATTAGTGGCCCAGATTCAAAATTATCCTCTATAAGAGTAATCTTCTCTCTTTACCAACTTGACCTGTTTTGATTCAGGAAGGATTTAGGTCTGTCTGCATCTTAAGCTTGTTGAGTTAGAGACGGATCATAGAACCAAGTCTTCAGAGGAAGAACATTTTTTAAATGCATTTGTCTCTGACTTTTCAATCTTCAAATAACTTTTAATTCAACTAATTTTCAATTCTGTTAACTTTCACTGTGAAAGTTAAAGCTCAGAAAAGTTAATTAAAGGAGTTTTAAAGCAAGGTGGACCTTTCCAGACCTCATCCATAGCCTTTGGCCACCCTTCTCTTCTAATTCATGTGGGTATGTTCACCTGCTTCTTGAAGACCAGAGCTTTCAAGCCCTCCAAAGGAGATGAACATGGCCAGGTCCTCTTCTGATGGCTGCATCTAGTAAGGTGTTTCCTCAGCTTCTCCCAGGAGAGGCTCAGCCTGGGCTTGGAGGACCACCAGAAGGGTGATGATAAGGACAAGCATCTTCATTGCTGAGAGTCACCTGGAGGATGGATGAACAGGAACCAAGGTGTGTGTGGCATGAGGATTCATCCTGTATTTATAGTTCTGTTAGGAGAAAGCACAGGGACAGGGTTTGTGGAGGAAGGGGTACCCTCATCCATTGCTGGTGGGAATGCAAACTTGTGCAACCACTTTGGAAAGCAGTGTGGCGGTTTCTAAGAAAATTCAGGATCAACCTACCCCTGGACCCAGCAATACCACTCTTGGGAATATACCCAAGAGATACCCTATCATATAACAAAAGCATTTGTTCAACTATGTTCATAGCAGCATTATTTGTTATAGCCAGAACCTGGAAACAACCTAGATGTCCTTCAATAGAAGAATGGATGAAGAAAGTGTGGAATATATACACAAAAATGCACTTTTATACACACACCAGTAACTGACATTCTTCAAGGACACCATGGTTCTTTAAGTGGGGACTACAGAAGACATTTTAGTCAGAAGTTGTCAGAGCAACTAGATAGTCACATGCAGTAAAATGCAGTGGAGTTCCACCACATACCAAGTACAAAACTCAACCATGAGGGAACCAGAGTCTGTGAGCTGAAACCTGAATATTAAAGACCGAGAAGACAGGTGAGTGCTCATGTCTTACGATTAGCAGTGAAGAAAAGAGACGTGTGTTCACCTTCAGAATCAGTGTGTGAAGGACACGTTCTGGAAAGTCAGTAGAGTGATCACAGCCCCTGCGGTGGGCGTGTTTGCTTATGTGAGACAGGGTCTTACTAGACAGCCCAGTCTGGCATGGGCATTGCTGTCTTCCTGCCTGCTTCACCCTGATGCTGGAGTCAAAAACCTGTGCCATGAGGCCCAAATCTCAATTGTGTTTAAAAGAAACTTGGTTTTTAGAAAACACTAGATACCTAGGTCACGAGGAGTCAGGACTGAAGCTCCTCCATTGGGTACAGAGACTGTTCCTCAAGGGCCATCCCTGACATTACTGCAGAGTCACGGTATTTAGACACTCTCTAGCCCTTCTTGGATGAGTTCCATTAAATTGCATGGATATATATTAATAGAAGTGCGGGATGTGGTTTTGAGGATCAATGAATGTTCCTGATCTGTTCTAAAAACAATAGATTAGCAAGCGGCAGAGAGGCACAGCGTCCAGATGCGGCAGAGAGGCTTGGCAATCAGGAATAGGCTTTGGGGGACCGGCGCGGCGGCTAACACAAGAAGCGGGGACCAACGAGGCGGCAGATGCAAGCAGCGGGACAGACGCGCAATAACAAGAGCAGATCACCCCACTACAATTAAATTAAAGAGGTAGGCCTTTTGTTGGCGAGGTCACTGGCAAATGGGGAGCCTGGGCCTGTCCTGAAGACCCTTCGGAGGGGTGAGAGGGTTCTTGGCCTGCGGCAGGAACCAGGAAACAGAGCGAGGGCATTTTGTAAGCGGAGCCCTTGGCCAGCAGGGAAACCTGATCCGGTTTTAAAAGACCCATTAGATAGGATCAATAAGAGGAGATGGGCAGGCGCCAAGGCAAGAATTCACCCAATAATCTGAAAAACAACATGAAAACACCAGAACCCAATGATATTACAACAGAAGTATTTGAGCACCCTAACACAGAAGAAGTGGAAAAAATTGACTTTATGAAAGCAATAGAGCCCCTTAAACAACATGTAAAAAACGCCCTAATAGAAATGGATGAGAAGTATAACAAAAAGTTTGAAGAAATGAGTAAATACGTACATGATACCTTGGAAAACCAAGAAAAAACGATCAAACAGATAATGGAAACAGTTCAAGACTTGAAAACCGAAATGAAGGCAAGGAAGAAAACACAAACTGAGGACCAGCTGGATATGGAAAATCTAGGTCAATGAGCAGAGTCTACAGAAACAAACATAATCAATAGAATACAAGAGATAGAAGAAAGAATCTCAGATTCTGAGGACACCATAGAGAAAATAAACGTACAGATCAAAGAAAACAGCAAAGCCAACAAATTCTCAACACAAAACATTCAGGAAATATGGAACACAATAAAAAGACCAAACCTAAGAATAATAGGAGTAGAAGAAGGAGAAGAGTCACAGCTCAAAGGCCCAGAAAATATATTTAACAAAATTATGGAAGAAAACTTGCCCAACATAAAGAAAGATATTCATTTAAATATTCAAGAAGCATACAGAACACCAAACAGACTGGATCAAAGAAAAACATCTCCTCGCCATATAATAATCAAAACACAAAATATACAGGTTAAAGAAAGAATATTAAGAGCTGCAAAGGAAAAAGAGCAAGTACACCTGACTTACATCAGACTTACACCTGACTTCTCTATGGAAACCATGAAAGCCAGAAGGTCCTGGATAGATGTACTGCAGAAGCTAAGAGACCATGGATGCAAACCCAAACTACTATACCCAGCCAAGCTATCATTCACTATCAATGGAGAAAACAAGACATTCCAGGATAAGAACAAATTTAAACAATACGTAGCCACAAATCCAGCACTACAGAAAGTAATAGAAGGAAAATCGCAACCCAAGGAATCCAACATTGCCAACACTGCCTACAATAACTCAGGCATCTAGCGACCCTTCACCAGCACATCTCAAAGAAGGGAGACACACAAACTCTATTACCAAAAACAATAAGAATAACCAGAGTAAACAACCACTGGTCATTAATATCACTTAATATTAATGGGCTCAATTCGCCTATAAAAAGGCACAGGCTAGCCGGGCGGTGGTGGCGCACGCCTTTAATCCCAGCACTCGGGAGGCAGAGGCAGGCAGATCTCTGTGAGTTCGAGGCCAGCCTGGTATATAAGAGCTAGTTCCAGGACAGGAACCAAAAGCTACGGAGAAACCCTGTCTCGAAAAATCAAAAAAAAAAGGGGGGGGAGCACAGGCTAAGAGATTGGATACGAAAACAGGATTCAACACTCTGCTGTTTGCAAGAAACAAATCTCAACCACAAAGACAGGCATCTACTCAGAGTAAAGGGTTGGGAAAAGGTGTTTCAAGCAAATGGTCCTAAAAAAAAAGCAGGTGTGGCCATACTAATTTCTAACAAAACTGACTTCAAACTAAAATCAATCAGAAGAGATCGAGATGGTCACTTTATACTCATAACAGGAACAATTCATCAGGATGACGTCTCAATCCTGAATATCTACGCCCCTAATATAAAAGCACCCACTTATGTAAAAGAAATATTACTAGAACTCAAGGCAGACATCAAACCACACACACTAGTAGTAGGAGACCAACACACCTCTATCTCCAGGGGACAGGTCAATCAGAAGGAAACCTTACAGAGAATTAAGAGAATTATTGGAGGTAATGAAGCAAATGGACTTAACAGACATCTATAGAACATTCCACCCAAATAGGAAAGAATATACCTTCTTCTCTGCAGCTCATGGAACCTTCTCGATAATTGACCACATACTCGGAAACAAAGGAAACCTCCACAGATACAAAAAAATATCAGTGTCCACCTGTGTCTTATCTGATCACCATGGATTAAAGTTAGAATTCAACAACAATGCTACCTACAAAAAGCCTACAAACTCATGGAAACTGAACAGTCAACTACTGAACCACACCTGGGTCATGGAAGAAATTAAGAAAGAAATTAAAATCTTCCTTGAATTTAATGAAAATAAAGAGACAACATACTCAAACCTATGGGACATGATAAAAGCAGTGCTAAGAGGAAAGTTCATAGCACTAAGTGCCCACTTAAAGAAAATGGAGAATGCATACATTGGGGACTTAACAACACACCTGAAAGCTCTAGAAAAAAAAGAAGCAGACGTGCCCAGGAGAAGTAGAAGACTGGAAATAATAAACTGAGGGCGGAAATCAACAAAATAGAAACACAGAAAACAATCCAAAGAATCAATGAAACAAAAAGTTGGTTCTTGGAGAAAATCAACAAGATCGACAAACCCTATCCAAACTAATTGAACGGCAGAGAGAGAACATGCAAATAAATAAGATCAGAAATGAAAAGGGGGACATAACCACAGACACAGAGGAAATTCAGAGAATCATTAGATCTTACTACAAAAGCCTGTATGCCACAAAACTGGAAAATACAAAAGAAATGGACATTTTTTTAAATAAGTACCATATACCAAAGCTAAACCAAGACCAGGTGAATGATCTAAATAGACCTGTTACTCACGAAGAACTAGAAACCGTTATCAAAAATCTCCCTTCGAAAAAAAGCCCAGGACCAGATGGTTTCAATGCAGAATTCTACCAGAACTTCCAAGAAGAACTAATACCTATACTCCTTAATGTATTTCACAATATAGAATCAGAAGAGTCATTGCCAAATTCTTTTTATGAAGCTACAGTTACCGTGATACCCAAACCACACATAGACCCAACCAAAAAAGAGAATTACAGGCCTATCTCACTCATGAATATCGATGCAAAAATTCTCAATAAAATACTGGCAAACCGAATCCAAGAACACATTAGAAAAATTATTCATTATGATCAAGTAGGCTTCATCCCAGAGATGCAGGGCTGGTTCAACATACGCAAATCTATCAATGTAATCCACCATATAAAAAAACTGAAAGAAAAAAACCATATGATCATTTCATTAGATGCTGAAAAAGCATTCGACAAAATTCAACACCCCTTTATGATAAAGGTCTTGGAGAAATTAGGGATACAAGGGTCCTACCTAAATATAATAAAAGCTATTTACAGCAAGCCGACAGCTAACATTAAATTAAACAGAGAAAAACTCAAAGCTATCCCACTAAAATCAGGAACACGACAAGGATGTCCACTCTCTCCATACCTCTTCAATATAGTGCTTGAAGTTCTAGCAATAGCAATAAGAAAACATAATGGGATCAAGGGGATTCGTATTGGAAAGGAAGAAGTTAAGCTTTCGTTATTTGCAGATGATATGATAGTATACATAAGCGACCCCAAAAACTCTACCAAAGAACTCCTACAGCTGATAAACACCTTTAGTAATGTGGCAGGATACAAGATCAACTCCAAAAAATCAGTTGCCTTCCTATACACTAAGGATAAGGAAGCAGAGAGGGAAATCAGAGAAGCATCACCTTTCACGATAGCCACAAATAGCATAAAATATCTTGGGGTAACTCTGAACAAGGAAGTGAAAGATCTATTTGACAAGAACTTTAAGTCTTTGAAGAAAGAAATTGAAGAGGACACCAGAAAATGGAAAGATCTTCCTTGCTCCTGGATTGGGAGGATCAACATAGTAAAAATGGCAATTCTACCAAAAGCAATCTATAGATTCAATGCAATCCCCATCAAAATCCCATCAAAATTCTTCACAGATCTAGAGAAGACAATAATCAACTTTATATGGAAAAACAAAAAACCCAGGATAGCCAAAACAATCTTATACAATAAAGGATTGTCTGGAGGCAGTACCATCCCTGACTTCAAACTCTATTACAGAGCTACAGTATTGAAAACAGCTTGGTATTGGCATAAAAACAGAGAAGTCGACCAATGGAATAGAATAGAAGACCCTGACTTCTATTAGGTGTTCACAAATCTATGAACACCTAATTTTCGATAAAGGAGCTAAAAGTATACAATGGAAAAAAGAGAGCATCTTCAACAAATTGTGCTGGCAAAACTGGATGTCAATCTGTAGAAGAATGAAAATATATCCATATCTATCACCATGCACAAAACTCAAGTCCCAATGGATTAAAGACCTCAATATCAGTCCAAACACACTGAACCTGATAGAAGAGAAAGTGGGAAGTACTCTACAACACATGGGCACAGGAGAACACTTCCTATGAATAACCCCAGCAGCACAGATATTAAGGGCCTCATTGAATAAATGGGACCTCCTGAGACTGAGAAGCTTCTGTAAAGCAAAGGACACTGTCACTGAGACACAAAGGCAACCCACTAACTGGGAGAAGATCTTCACCAACCCCGCAACTGACAAAGGTCTGATCTCCAAAATATATAAACAACTCAAGAAACTAGACTGTAAAAGGCTAATCAACCCAACTATAAAATGGGGCACTGAGCTGAACAGCGAATTCTCAACAGTAGAAGTTCAAATAGCCAAAAGACATTTAAGGTCATGCTCAACCTCCTTAGCAATCAGGGAAATGCAAATCAAAACAACTTTGAGATATCATCTTACACCTGTCAGAATGGCTAAAGTCAAAAACACCAATGATAGCCTTTGCTGGAGAGGCTGTGGAGGAAGGGGTACCCTCATCCATTGCTGGTGGGAATGCAATCTCATGCAACCACTGTGGAAATCAGTGTTTTGGTTTCTCAGGAAATTCGGGATCAACCTACCCCTGGACCCAGCAATACCACTCCTGGGAATATACCCAAGAGATGCCCTATCATATGACAAAAGCATTTGTTCAACTATGTTCATAGCAGTATTATTTGTAATAGCCAGAACCTGGAAACAACCTAGATGCCCTTCAATGGAAGAATGGATGAAGAAAGTATGGAATATATACACATTAGAGTACTATGCTGCGGTAGAAAACAATGACTTCTCGAATTTTGCATACAAATGGATGGAAATAGAAAACACTCTCCTGAGTGAGGTATCCCAGACCCAAAAAGATGAACATGGGATGTACTCACTCATATTTGCTTTCTAGCCATACACAAAGGACAGTGAGCTTATAATTCACGATCCTAGAGAAGCTAAATAAGAAGGTGAATCCAAAGACAAACATATAGGCATCCTCCTGAATATTAACCTTCATCAGGCAATGAAAGGAGACAGAGACAGAGACCCACATTGGTGCACCGGACAGAAATCTCAAGGTCCAAATCAGGAGCAGAAGGAGAGGGAGCACAAGCAAGGAACTCAGGACCACAAGGGGTACACCCACACACTGAGACAATGGGGATGTTCTATCAGGAACTCACCAAGGCCAGCTGGCCTGGGTCTGAAAAAGCATGGGATAAAACCGGACTAGCTGAACATAGCGGACAATGAGGACTACTGAGAACTCAAGAACAATGGCAGTGGGTTTTTGATCCTACTGCATGTACTGGCTTTGGGGGAGCCTAGGCAGTTTGGATGCTCACCTTACTAGACCTGGATGGAGGTTGGGCGGTCCTTGGGCTTCCCACAGGTCAGGGAACCCTGATTGCTCTTCGAGCTGATGATGGAGGGGGACTTGATCGGGGGAGGAGGAGGGAAATGGGAGGCGGTTGTGGGGAGGAGGCAGAAATCCTTAATAAATAAATAAATTTTAAAAAAGCAGTAGATTACAGCAGAGAGCAATAACATGGCAGCTGATAAATATTTAAGCAGCTGGGGATCAAGGAAGCTTATCATCATTTTTTCATTGCTCACCCAGTAATCATAGTCAGCCATCAAACATATGCAACATGTGGTGTAAGCAGAAATCCTGGATCATCAACGGGTCAAAGGAGAATAAGGGGGCCTTGTGTAGTTTTCATCCACATTTCCATGCCTTCCCTTGTACATAGGCAAACACTAAACTCTAATCCTATTCTGAAGGATCCAGTTTTCTGTGATCCACCTTCTAGTGACCAAACACAAACAAGATGAGCGTCCCCCACCCCGCCCATCAGATGTCACTAGACTGAAGATGCGCCTCTAGGATGGCAGTCATGCAGGTCTTAGCTCTGCTCTGTGCTTGACTCTTCACTCCACTCTCACTCCCATAGTTAAGCCAGCTTAACCTCCGGTCATCTGGAAGTCCACATTGAAACAGAGTCGGTTGCGTCCCAGGTCGGTTTGCCTATGCTCACCTGCTCCAGGGAGCTTCCATACTGAAATGTCTTTCTGCATGAGACACTGACCAAGAATTTGCAGTAAAGAAAGACCAGCTCCATCAGAAGAGGACAGATGGCGTGGCAGGTGGCACAGCTTCTTTCCCCAGAGTCTTCAGAGCAGTAGGCAGCAAGTTCCAGTCTTCTGAACTCTTCACAGTGACCACATTAGATCCAAAGCAAGCACTCCAAGAAGAACAAAAGAGACTCCATAAAAGAGGCTGGAATCTGGGAATTAAGAGATCTTCGGAACATCAGTGAGGGTAGAGTTCATAAAAAACAACCATGACTCCTTCTGATCTCTTCTGATTTTGGAAGGCTTGGGAACCTATTTTGCTAGAGTTAAACTAGTAACTTCCATGCATTCTCACATGTCCATATTTAAATATGTCTGTTGAATTTGTGGATGGTTGTTAAAGTTTGGAAGCTCAAGGCCTCCGGTTCCCTCTGTAGTCCACCATGCTCAGTTCAGTACCCAGGCACCTGTACAAGAGGCATGAGCTGGGGTGGCGACTGAGGACCCTGTTCTCTGGCACCTGATCCCTCCTGCTGTACCTTCCTGTGTCCTGGCATGTCTTGTTATGTGAGCGATGTCAGGCACATTTTCCAACTGCTTAGCACTAATTGAGAAGTATAGATAAAGGTATCTTAAGACACCTACACCTAGTTATCTTAAGGTGTAGATAAAGACATGAGCACATGGATTTCGTGTTTCTAAAAGCTGGGCTACTTATATCAATTCCATCTTCACTGGATGTGGGCAGATATAGTCTGACAATGAACATATCTGGGTGGGATTTCCTGCTTTAATTCCTACTTAGTGTCTTTGCTGTTAACCTTTCTTTTCCAGAAGTATTTTATTAATTAAATTTATTCATTTATTTTACATCCTGACTGCAGTTTCTTCTCCCTCCTCTCCTCCCATCCTTCCCTGTTCCTTCCTTTCTGCCTCACCTCAATCTACTCCTCCTCTGTCTCTGTTCTGAAAGGGGCAGGCCTCCTATAGGTATCAACAAAGCAAGGCATATCAAGTTGAGGTAAAACTGAGCTCTATCCTATTAAGGCCTGGTAAGGCAACCCAATATTTGGAATAGGTTCCCAAAAGCCTGTCAAAGCATCAGAGAAGGCAGGGCTCCCCCTGCTGGGAGTTCCGCAAGTAGAACAAGCTATGCTTTTGTTACACATATGTAAAAGGCCTAGATCAGTTCCATGTGGACTTCTTAACTGTCTGTCCAGTGTCTTTGAGCTCCTATGAACCCAGGTTAGTTGTCTCTGTGATAACCTTGACACCCTGGCTCTTACAATCCTTTCTCCTTCTCTTCAACAGGATTTATGGAGTTCAGCCCAGTGCTTGTCTGTGGATCTCTGGATCTGCTTCCATCAGCTATTCAAAGACTCTCAGATGACAATTAGGGTTGTCACCAATCTGATTACAGAAGACGGCCAGTTCAGACCACCTCTCCACTATTGCTAGGAGTCTTAGCTAGGGTCATTCTTGTCGATTTGTGGCCATTTCCCTTGCACCAGGTTTCTACACAGCCCCCAAATTGTCCCCTGTCCCATCAAGATATCTCTTTGATCACTCTCTCTTTCTATTCTGCCCCTGATCCCTTATGTTCCCATCTTTGCCTGCCCCCAGTTTACCCAGGAAATCTCTTCTACTTCCTCTTCCCAGGGACATCCATGAGTCCCTCTTTGACTTCTCCTTGTTACCTCGCCTCTCTGGGACAGTGGAATGCAGCATGTGCTGACCTTTCTTAATGCTACTTAAAGTTGTGTCTGTGAAGGTGATACAAATGTAGGGCTTTATGGGCACATACATATATGATCTCAGCATATTCAGCTAAATCCTAACATTCAAAATGAGGATGCTAGCATCTTTGAGAAGTCAGGTCATTGGGACTATGGAAACTTGAAGATAATCATGATGTTTTCTGCCTCCCCATTGCCAATGACTTTGAATGTGGTTCTCATCTAAATGAGGCAGAGTAATAAGATAAGAGATGGAAATTATTACAATAGAATCCACCTTTCTTATTAATCACCAGAAGCTTGTGTGATATAGCTTTGATATTCCTATGATCTGCAGTCCAGAATTTCTTTACTCTATTTTGGTACTTGATTCTCAGAGTCTTCCTTGGAGACAACAGACAAGTACAAGCACACAGAGAAAAAGAGCTTGCTGCAAGGACTTTATTTAGATAGAAAATAGGAAGAAACTCAAGGACACAGCATGGGACAAACAGTATCCTTCAGGTTTTCGACTACTATGAAAACGTAGTCATCTTGTTCTTAATTATCGGCGGCAACAGAGTCGGTAGACAACGTTACGGTAACTGCAGTAGCCAATAAGTCGTTCTGGAAAACGACAGCCTCCTCTTCTGCAATAGCAGGTCACGCCTGACCTCACACCTGGGGATACAAAAACCACAGGAAGCACTCAGTGCCCAAGTCAGCAGGATGGAAGAGACCCTGGGTAAGACATGTGCTAGTTGAAGTGAATCCCCCACATTCATCATTACTGACAACAGCCTGAGAAATCACAATCAATATGAATAAATATGCATGTTAAACATCGGACCTGCACAAAACTAAAGACCAATAACAATTTGTCTTAATTCTGTTTCTTTTCATTTTTGTTCTCCTACCATCACACATATTTTGTGCATCCGGTCATTATATAAAAATCTAAACACAAACCTCCAGATACTAAAATATAATAGACACAATAAAATATTCTCCATCTGACCAAGTCTACCAAGTTAGATATAGAAAAAAAAAACAGTGTTACTAATCGTTTTATGTATTAAACCCAGTGATAGTCATAAAATTATCTTGGAACAATAATCTTTGCAGAAAGAAATTGATTTATTGAGCTCTTGGTGTTGAATGTAAAAAATAAAGAAGTAATTAATTCCCCTGGGTGACCTGATTTCAGAGCTTAGCTCCACCCCTTCTCCCTGCTCCTCTCTCTAACATGCTGACGTCGCTCACCTGCATCTTGGAGAGCAGTGCTGTCATCCCCTCCTAGGAATATGGATATACCCTGCTCATCCTCTCCCAGCTGCTCCTGGTCTAGAACCTCCTCAGCTCTTCCTAGGAGAGGTTCTGCCTGAGTCTGCAGGGCCAGCAGGAGAAGGGCGATGAGTAGAATGGAGGTCCTCATGGCCGTAGGTTTCCTAGCAGATGAAATAATCCGTAACCATGTGTGTGTGTGTGGGGGGGGGTATGTGAAGAGAAGGGTCCGAGACAGGCCCTGCAGTTGGACAAGGTCAACAGTGATAAGGAAGCAGATCTGTCCTTAAGGTTCTCCTGATGCTCTCGTTCTCATGGCCTCCATCTCAAGTGCCTCCACCTGTGTGTCTGGTGACCGCCTTCGGTTTAAGCTGGTGAGGATGAGGAGGACTCCGCTGTTGTTTTGGATTTTGTACTTAGTACTGAAATGAATGTTTACTTTCTAATGTTAAAATAGATGAGAAGAAGCAGCACTCTCATGCTTTAAGTTCAAGGACACAAAGACTCTACCTCTCTGAGGATGGACTCTGAGGCCTTCTGAAGTTGTCGACTCTGGGGTCAGACATGGATCCTGATGATGCGTGTTAATCAAGGCTTTTTAGGGTTGGTTCTGATAGCACATTGACCTTATCAAACTATGGATGAAATGAACTCCTGTGATGCTAGGTAAAACATTGATCCAAAAAGGAGGAATGTTTATTCTTTCTACCTCTCCACATCTATGAGTGGCAATTGAGACACTCAGAGTTAAAGCACACAACCCAATGATTTGATGCACAATTGGATGTTGATCTCCAATAAAATGAATTAAAGACACAAGACTTGAAAGTATAAAACTACGAGAAGAAAGTACAGTGCAAGAACTGAACAGATATTTCTTGTGTGGGAACAAAGCAAAGGCAGGCAAATGGGATTGTGCTGGACTGTACAGCTTCTACATAGGAGAGGGAATGAGCATGGGAGTGAAATGGCCAACTCGAGCATGGCGGGAAAGGTTGGCAAAGCATACACCTGATAAGAAACTTTTATCCATATACAGGCAATGTGTGCAACTCAGAAGCCAAAACCAAGTCAGACGATAAATGGCAAGTGACCCAAAGAGATATTCCTTAAAACAGAAAGACATTTTTCAGATTATATTATTCTCCCTACCTGAATGACAAGGAAGACATCTGTGTTTTGAAGAAAGCTTTGTGAATTTCCCCTTAACCAGTAACCACTGTCCTTAGAAGCCACCAGAAGCCCACACAGGAGAGCCTGAGAAGTGTCTCTGCATATGTGGGCATCCCAGGGCAAACTTGCCTTTAGGAAATCAGTTGCAGCTGGGCCTCAATGACATGCCCATACTTTGAAAATTAAGGGAATTTCGTTACTCACAGATCCTTGGGCTGTGCAGAGAGCAGAGCAGGAGAGATGGCACTCCTCTGTTCAGATCTTGGGGGCAACAGCAGCTGTGCCCTCAAGGAGCAGACTTGCCCTATTTAATAGCCAGTTGGAATGGCCTATTTTTTTTTTGTGGTTAATTTCTGTTGGGTGCTTCCAGCATCTGTGGTGCAAGTATGGTTACGCAAGTTGGAAAAGCTGGGCCAAGGCAGGACTTCCCAGAGGGACCCCTTATCTGTCCTTTTCAGAACTAAACGGCACTTGCTTGCCCATCACTGCTTATACAGTTGAGCCGGTGCTGCACGGGCGTGTGAGATCACTGATGTCAGACAATGTGAAGGAGCACGAAGGAAATGCATGGCTATGAATCATGCTTTATACTTGGTGAAAATGACTGAAATAAATAGTCAATAAATTTGTAGAGAAGAATTTGAAAGCTAATTCTCAGTGAGCCTCTCCGGGACCTAGGTCACAACTCTTAGAGATAGTTAAGCCTCCCTATTAGAGCTAATTAAGCCATTGAGAGGAGCAAGGATGTTGCACTATAATAAGATTGTACATTAGATTTGCAGTGTGACTGTAGTTACTGATGGAGTCTTCAGTGTGATTGATATGTCTACATCATGTCGTTTTCTGGAGGAACCAAATGCAACCTTTCTTGGCCACTAGTCGAGGACAAATATTTATCTAGAGCAACATGGGCAAAACACTCATGAGATTGTTACTGGAGACATAATGCCTTCTGAATGTCCCACAGACTGGACTGATAGCAGAGAGATTGGCAGTCAACAGTCTAGCCAAGTGGCATGTCTTCAGAGGCATTATGTGTAAACCAATACTGGTCCTCTATAAGGTTGTATTAGAACCAGCATGACCAGAATGGACATTGCATGCTGGAGATGCACCAGCTTCTCACCAGAAAGTTCCTAGGAGGAAAAACAACATTTAAAGGTGACCTCAAATCCTGAGACACTCTCAGAATGCAGGCTTGTCCCAGCTTCTCTTGAGCATATATTTGGTAATTTCTTGACCAGTAACAAAATCTCACGCATGTCACCATGCTGTATTTTTGTTTCCAAGATTTAAATATTAATATTTTAATTTTCTTCTTATTTAATGATGTTGTTGTCTGAATGTTTAAGTCTCACTAAAATGAGCGTGTGGAAATCTTACTCTGAAAGTTAATGAAATTTACAAGTGGGGTCTTCTGCCAGGGGATTGGGTTAAAAGGGAAGAACCCCATGGATGGGGTAATTCTTTCATAAAAGAGGCTGAAGGAACTGCCTTGTTCCTTTTACAAGGTGGGGACATTTCCTGAAACCACCATTTATCAATCAGGAAATGGGACATCACCACAGAGTAAACCTTTTGACACTTTCATCTTAGACTTCATAGCCTACAGAACTGCAGGAAATTGGTACCATCTGCTGTGTATAATACAATTATCAATGGCTTGATACATGGTGTTGTGTTATGTTGAACTAAATGGACTAAGACAGATGTTCACACTGGAACCGATCTGCCATACTTTGAGAAACTCTGGATCTTGTGGAGGAGACCACAGGGGAGGAACTAAGGCCTCTTATGGTGTTAGAACAAAAACACTTAGAGCTAGCTTGCTCATGACAAACTGGTTTGATTTATAATGTTTACAAATATCCATGATTAAAACCCACTCAGCTTCAGACAGGGACATCTGTCTGATGGTTCCCTCCTCCTGAGCCAGGATGGAAAGTAAGACTCTGCACATCTTGTCTCAGCTCACAGTTCTGCCGAGCTTCCTCCTGACTGAAACCAGTAAGGCTTGCTTACCAAGCTGGAGAGTTCTTCTACAGTAAACTCTCCAAATCCAAGAGAACCACTTCTCCTTTTGCCCATGGCATTGACCAATGTCCAAGTGGTAAATTTGAGTTAGGACACATGCATGCGCTGTACGGAATCCATTTCTTACTGTAATGATTTCTGACACAGCAGTAGAAGAACAGAGCATTGGCATGTATATAGCGAGAGAACCTGTGACCTATGGATTATTTTAGATGTCAATTTTTGCCTGGTCAATATATTATTTGTGAAGTGGGACTTCATCATTTCACTTAATTTCTCAGGAATAACTGGGAACATATAATGAGTACGTGGCATAAAGCCCTGTACTCACTGGGATGTTGTGGTGAACAGTTTCTCATTTATTTTTCAGCTGAATTTCTGCAGTGGAGATGCAGGATTAGTATGTAACCCGAGTGTGGTTCAGGTCTCTGTCCTTACAAGGAGATTTAGTGAGAGGTGTATGACCTTGCCAATTGCTAGAGCATGAGGGAAATCAGAAAGTGATTTTTTGCTGTGAATTTAAGCTACTAAAATTCCATATATCTGCACTTCATTCACTCTGCCATCATATCAGAGCCACCAGAACAAAAGGGAGATCTCAGTGTCTGTGCTACTGGGCTTATATTCAGGAAGTGATTTCCTATGCCAGTGCGTTCAAAGCTACTTCCCACTTTCTCTATTATGAGGTTCGGTGTGGCTAGATTGATGTTGAGGTCTTTGATCCATTTGGACTGGAGCTTTGTGCATGGAGACAGATATGACTTTATTTGCATTTTTCTACAGGTCAACATCAAGTTATGCCAGAACCATAATTTGAATACCAATCCTCAAAAACTTCTACCAGGGAAGTTTTGTTAAAGATGCCTTCTTTTTCCATTGTATAATTTTAGTTTCTTTGTCAAAAATCAGGTGTTCGTAGACTGTGAATTAATAACAGAGTCTTTAATTCAATTCCATTGGTCCACCTGTCTGTTTTCGTGCCAGTATCAAGCTGTTTTCTTTATTATAGCTCTATAGTAGAGCTTGAAGTCAGGGATGGTGATGCCTCCAGAAGTTTCTATTTTGTACAAGATTGTTTTGACCATCCTGGGTTTTTTGTTTTTCCATATGAAGTTGAATATTCTTCTTTCAAGGTCTGTAAAGAATTGTGCTGGGATATTAATGGGGATTGCATTGAAACTGTGGATTGATTTTGGTATGATTACCATTTTTGTTTACTATGTTGATCCTACCAAGAGCATGGGAAACCTTTCCACTTTCTGATATCTTCTTCAATTTCTTTCTTTAAAGACTTAACATTCTTGTTATACAAGTCTTTCACTTGTTTGGTCAGAATTACCTCAAGATATTTTATGTTGTTTGTTGCTATTGTAAAGAGTAATGTTTCTCTGATTTCTTTCTTATACCATTTATCATCTGTATATAGGAGGGTTACTAGTTTTTTTGAGTTAATCTTGTATCCTCCACATTATTGAAGGTGTTTATTAGATGTAGGAGTTCCCTGGTAGAAGTTTTGGGGGATTGGTATTCAAATTCAGATTGTTTTGAAAATAAAAAATGAAAGAAAGAAAGAGAGAGAGAGAGGGGAGAGAGAGAGAGAGAGAGAGAGAGAGAGAGAGAGAGAAGGAAAGAAAGGCCAGGACCACACTTTTATTCCCTGAACCAACCACTTAATCTAGTCAAGATTCCTCCTTACAGTTCTCAAAGACTTGAGTCAGAATGCTGCCTCAGCCTGAGGTGGTTCCTGAACTCTGCATCTAAGACTCCAGTTAATACACATGGGAAACACGATCAATTCCAATACAGAACATTCAATACAAAAGGGTTGGTTACAACTGTTCTAGGTATAGCCTGGGTATCAGAGTTCTCAGGTCATTCTAAAGCATAACTTTCCTGGGGCTAATTACTAAATAACCATGGTCACCCACATCAGAAGACCGGAAGGCAGTGGGGTAGGGTATAAACCAGGAGTCTTAGGTGGACTCCCAAACGAGAGTGAATCTAGGCAAAGGCAAGAGTATGGTTAAAGGGTTGAAGAGAGAGAGAGGGACACTGTCATTTGGGGTGGGAAAGCACTAAGAGAGATTGGGAAGGTGAACATCCGGGCCAGAGACTGGAGAACATTTTCCTCTAACCTGTAAATTTCTAAAATGATCTGTGGAGCTTTGAGTGATAAAGGAAAGTTCCCAAAGCACAGAAAAATATATTTTCTCAATCCCTTATATTCTGTTTCTGGTTGTAGAAAGAGTTTAGAAAACAAAACTCTCAAATGAAAGTGAGCATAAGTTGGAGATGTAGATTTCTTTGTATGTTATTGTTCTGTATCTTGTACATTATTGTACATTATTGCCAAGAGATGGCATTGACCTTCATGTCCCACAGCGAATGAATTGATAAAGAGAATGTGGTTTGCATAAACATTGCATTGTGTATTGTTTGTGTTTGCATGTATACACATGGAACACTCATCAATCATAAAAAGGTGGAATTGTCAATAACTGAGATGATCCTGGAGGACACTTACTGTGTGAACTCCAGATGCACAAAGAGAAGGCAACATGTTCTCACATACAAGATAAAAACCAACATCATGCAAAGTGAGAATAGAATACTTGCTATTGGTGACTGGTAAGGTCAGGAGATGCTGAGGAGAGGTTGATCAATGAGTACAGAATTACATTTTAGGTAGGAGCAATGAGTTCTGGCCAACTATTATACAATAACATGACTATAAGTAGTAACGGACTGTGAATTTCAAAATAGCGAGGACAGTAGAATTTTAGTGTTTCACAATAAATAAATTATACGTGTGTGAGGTGACAGACATGCTAATTCCCCAATTTATTAATTTCACAGTCTGCATATGTTTGTATCAGCCCTTACCATTATGCACCAAAAATTTCCCCCATTACAATTGGTGAGTTTAAAAACAATGAGATCTTTCATTTTACAAGAAGGTTTCATCCCAAACTTTAAAAATGTGAAGGAAGAATATATGAGATTAGTGCATCCAGGGTCAAGAATTTGCAATAGGGAGAAAGGTTGGAAGAACTTTAGTGGGAAGTTAGTCAACACAGCAATGATTGTGTCATGTGTTTGCTGATTGACACTTACTGGAGTTATGCTAACTGTACCTGAAAACAAACCTATGTCCTAGATAATTACATTTCAAAATATGATGCCACATTTTGTTAAATCTTTTTAATTTACTTGGCCCAGGACACGAGTGACTTATTTAAGACAGATGTCTTATGTGACTTTGACAACTACGTATTATATGTGCAATTCACTGATCCGTATTCTGTGATATTTGAGGTGAGAAGAGGTATACTGGCTAGAGTTACACTTTCTCTACTATGAGTTCAGTTGGTGCAGCTGGTACCTGCCATGGCCCAGCACAGATAGTTATAGCAGCTACCAAGTGAAATGCTTCTAGCATCCTTTCTTCCTCAAGGGGCGATGGGGTGTTCTATTCTTCCATCACATCTCCTTCCTTATTGAATGCCCACAAGAACATCTGCTGTGAACCCACATTGTCTGTGCTGCTTGAGTCTGCAATCTAAGAGGTCACTGCTGCTGTATTTCCATCAGATATCACACATAGCTCCCTTAGGGAGTGTGCAACGTCCTCGAGACTGAGTCTTAGCACCCTGTAGCACCCCTGGAGACTCTAGGCTGGAGGGAGAACTATCTGTTGATTTCTTTATTTTTCTTGGAACCACTTCCAGCTGCATTAATCCCACCAAAGCTAGAAAGTAACTCACTTGAGTGTACATTGCCGAGCACACAGGGGTCATTGGGCACATCACTTTTTGTATGTGAAGAACAGTCTTCTGTGTAGAGAATACATCCTGTCATATACAGACACAGGTGCTGCAGATAATGTGCACACCAGAGAGTGGGGTGCCTTGCTTTTCTTCCTACCCATTCTGCCTCTGTACAGAATTTTTTTCAAACAATAGTAAAGTTATCTCTAAGAAGCCAAAAACAACTCAGGGCTTAGAAGGCAGAGGCATAATCCAGACCTGCTCACTGAAACTTCAACACTTTTTAAGGAGATGGTGGCTCTCTGAAAAATTAAGATATTAGTACTTTAAAACATGAAGCCAAAAGTGGTAGTCTTTCTTCACATGTTGGCAATGTTTTTGAGAGAAAGTTGAATCTACATGAAGGCAGAGGCAAAATTTAAGTACAAAATGTAGCAGGATTGTGTATGAACCCTTTACAGTTTGTGTATGAACCCTGAGACCATCCTAAATATTGTTGGCATTTGGAGTCACTATTTTGTAAATAAAGACTAAATTATTTATTCATTGGCAAAGGTTTCCTTGAAGATTCTAGTATTTCATATCCAGAATACAGACTGAGCCTTACAGCAAATTCTGAAAGAATGCAAACACAGAGGGAGTGTATCACAGTGCTTTATTGGAGATAAAAGAGAAGCACAAATGTGTGGCAATCAAAGACTTGTCGTAGGCCTCAGAGAGCATGAGCATCTTCTTGTTTCTGGTCTCCATATTTAGAGGCAGCAGTAAAAGTAGAGTTTGCGGCCTCTTTTGCAGAATCCCCTGATGCGTTCTGGTAATCTGCAGTATCGTCTTTTACATTTGCATATCGAGAACTTTCTTGAGGCTGGAGACACACAGAAAGAATCAATAATTGAGTTTGCAGGTCAGCAGGATTTGATTGCATACAGTCCTATGAAGGTGTGTGATACAGCATGGGTATGTTCCGTTGGAATCATTACAGCCAACAGATGATCAACTCAATGCAAACAGAAATAACGTACTTAAGGAGTTTTGGTAATGTGCAGGACTTGACGTCCATTCTCAAGGGTTAATTTTAATCCCCCCTTTCTCACCATTCATATACTTGAGTGTACTTTTACAATGATTTGAGTTCCCATAGACAAAGAAAATGTAGAAATACCTAAGACTGCTTTTGTCTATGAGGATCTCCTCAATACATCGCTCTACATTCTGGTTAAATTCCTACGTGTATTTTCAGAGCAAAAGCTTTATGAGAAAGAAACCAATAGACTTACTTCACTCTCACTATTACTGCTATGAATAAGAAATAGACGGAAGTAAGACAGAGTTACCAAGGGAGCCAGATTGATCTTGACAGGATTCCAGGGCCCATCTTCCACCCTCTCTCAGGAGACTCCAACCCGCTATCAACTGGGCATCACCACTCACCTGCATCTTGAAGAGCAGAGCCTTCTGGGTCCCCAAAGGAGATGGACACATCCTGGTCCTCTACCCCTGGCTGAACCTCATTTTTAGTCTCCTCAGCTGCTTCTGGAAGAGGATCAGCCTGGGCCAGGAAGGCCAGCAGGGCAAGGACAGAGAGGAGGACAAGTGTCTTCTGACTGAGAGTCACCGGGAGGGTGGGTGAGCAGGAGCCCAGTGTGTAGGGACTGAGGAGCCCGCCTGCATTTATAGGGCTGTCATGAGAAGGTGCCAAGACAGCCCTGTAGATAGAGAGGGCACGCACTGATGGGAACTGGGAGAGACTGTCGTCCTCAAGATGTTGTCCTTTGATGTTCGTGTGTTCTCACAGCTGCCATCATGGTGTCGATCTGTGTGTTCAGTAACTTTCCTCCCTTCCAGCTGATGATTCCAGGGCCTTATTATCTTCTCCTGTTTCCCATCTGCTTGAGTATTTGCCTTTCTGTGGTCAAGAAAGAAATGAGGCAGGCATGTACCAACTTAGTATGCTCGTGGAACAAGGGGTTTTTGTGATTGGAAGTTGGAGCCTGCTGTTATCAGAAGGCATGGACCCTGGGCCAGACTTGAATACCTGTGGATTGGACAGTCAGTTCTTTGAGTGATTCTGGGCCACAATCACCTTCATGAAGGAAGGGTTTGTGAATCGCTTCTTTTGGTGATTATGGAGAGAGTAAGATGGCCCTGGTGAATTGAGCTCACGAGGAGACGAGGGACAGAGTTGGTCAGAGTGAAGCCAGAGCAGGTGGTTCCGAAGAAGCCCCTGTGAGCGGAGCACATCTATGCGTGCATCCCAGGTGCCTCTTCACACTTGGGGAGCCATCAAACGATGTGCTGTGCCTCGTGGCTCGGATCTCGGACCTGTACTTTTAGGAGATGAGCATTAAAGCGCATTAAACAAAACTACACAAGACAGCGTGTTACCAGACGTTTCTCATCCTCAGCCATGCTAGGAAGTGCTCCATTCCTGCTTCTCCATGGAACCACCAGTACTCACTAGGACACTTTTCTGTACTGAACTGCTCCAGTAAGATTCTTTTTATTCATGTTTTGCATGAAAAAAGAAGCATATCAAATTGCTCTCTTGCCTTAAAGTTATTTATGGTATATATTATCTCTGAATTCATTTTTAAAATTTGAGATTACTTTCCAATTTGTATTTGTTTCTGTGTTTTTATAACAAGTAGGAAAACATCAATATATACCACTATGTGGATAAATGTATATAATAAAAATACATATAAATATGTCATATAGCCTAAAACAACAATTGTTTCGGCTCCATATCTAGAAGCATAAATGCTGACTTTATTACTACATGGCCCCAATGATACATACAAAATCATGTATGGTCCACTGTCCTCATCCACAGTACACTTGTGAGAGCTGATCATGCTGCTGACCATCATGAGGCCAATATGACAAATATTATGGATACCTTAAGTGTCTTTCCAAGGTTGTGTGTCACTCTTTGATAATTTCATCCATCAGTGCCTTATACAATCTCTGAAACCACGGGTCTAACCAAGACTTGTCTTGCCATTGTGTGAGTAGTCTACAGTTTACTTGACTGATTCCGAATCTTTTGGATACAAATAAGGGGTGACACATGCTGCTCATTCATATGCCAAGAATGGAGAAAATTTGAGGTAGTGCTCATTTTGAGACCTGAAAATTACATGGTACTTACCCATGATAATGTGAAGCTTAGTCAAGAGTCTTTGGAATGTAAGTGTTTGACTTTTAAATGAAACTGTTTTAAACAAAACCGTGACTCCAGTTAGCAGCAACTGAAAAGAGGAGCACAGATTCCAGACACAAAGTGACAAAAAAAAAAAGCTCAAAATGGTTCTGCTGGCCCAGTTATAGACCTCTTCTCTCTTACTTTTGTCTTAATTTACATTGAACTCAATCCCAAAGGCATCTCTCTTGCAATAGGCTCCCATATTCTCCTGAAACAATCTCATTCTGAGAGAATGAATACAAGACACCTCAAGAAGGAATATCAATGACTTCGTGTAGTGAGAACTAGAGAGGGGGAAACAAAGAGAAAGGCTACTCAAGAGATAAAATGGCAAGGAAACACACTGTGCACAAAGAAAGCTAGTTAACTGAAATTAAACAAATGAGGGTCAACAAGATGGCTTAGTGGGAGAGATGCTACCACCACACCTGACAACCTGAGTTCAAGACTCAGGATCCACACAGTGGAAGGAGCAAACAGACTGCCATTAGCTGTCTTCTCACCTCCACACGTAGACTGTGACACATGAGTTCTGCCTACACGTGCAGTAAGTAAATAAATGTAAGACAAATTTTCATGAGACTCCTCCATGTTGTAGAATAATACTTTAACTAGGAAAAGATGTATTACACTTGTCTGTGTTTCAGACTATTACTTTAACTGTGTAAAGGTGAAGTACATTTGTTTATTCTCTATTTGCTTAAAAATATAAGAATGTGTTGCATTTGTTTCACCTTGCATGCATAAGGCACCCGATTGGTCTAATAGAGAACTTAATGGCCAATAGCTAGGCAGAGAAGAGGGATAGGTGGGGTAGGTGGGCAGAGAGAATAAATAAAAGGAGAAATCTAGGCTCAAGAAGAATGAGAGGAAGAAGAATGGGAAGAGGGAGGAACAAGAGGAGAGAATGGGGGAGAAAGATAGGGAGATGCTGGGACTAGCTAGGCAGTCACAAGACAGCAGATACAGAGAAGGACACATAGAAAGAAAGTTAAAAATCCCTGAGGCAAAAGGTAGATGAAGAGAAACAGGTTAAGTGAAAAAAAAACTAGCCAGAAATGAGCCTCAGCTGGGTTGAGCATTCATCACTAATAAGAAGTCTCTGGGCCATGATTTGGGAGCTAGTTGTTGATCCAAAAGAAAAAGCCTGGTAGAACCCCAGGGTTCAGTTACAGAACACACGCTTTTGTCCCACAGAGAGGTCCCCTATTTTAGCTTAATCCCAAAGAGTATCAAATGGTTAACTTCATTTGGCCTTGGACAAGCATTGAAGAACTTCCAGTTTATATACTTACTGAGAATTACTTTATTTTATGATGCTCAGAAGACATGTCCCTATTGAAATCACATCTTCTCCATCAACACGTCCACCAACTGGGCCAGATCCCATCGCTTATCCCTACCCTGAATCTCTGAAGAAATTTCAGTAAACAACCGATGGTATCATGAAAAACCACTCCAGGTTGTTCAAAATATTCCACTCATCACAGAAATTTCGATTGGACAACACACACTTACTGATTCATAGCAGCCAGCTCTGTGGCAGGCACAAGTTATGGCTTCTTACTGTGACTCTGGACTCCCGAGAAAGCACGGAAACATAGAGAAAGGTGTGTAAGCTGCACTGGAGTCAGAAGTCCTGTGCCGATTTTATAATAAAATTCCAATAGACTTCATTGGCTCCTAAACACTCATCTTTAAGTGGGGATGATTGTCTCCATGGTCTGAGGAAACTCCTCAGCCGAATATGAAACTCAACTTCCTTTCTGTCAAGCGTCCTAACATCCTAGTCTTCTGGTCAGAACTAGCTGTGTGTTACTCTGCTGGGCTTTTCCTATTTTCCATCTTCCTGCCGTCCATATTTCTACTACACTTCTCAGCTTGTTCTCATCTCGTCCACCCTGAGGTGAGGCGTCATGCCTCCTCTTCTGCAGCAACACTGAACCTTTTTACTTTAACTTATAAAACTGTTCATTTTGTGTGATTTCTCTCTAGCAATGACATTACTAATGCCATAAAATTATTGAAGTATTTGAAACTGTAAAATATGATCCTTGTTTGTTCAACAAATATAAATTATTAACTATTGCATAAAACCTTAAAGTACTCTTGAACTTAACAACTTATTAAGTCACATGAGGACAATAAATTTTCATTCATTGTAGACTCAGGACAGCTTTGGTTGACTTCCCAGAAATCATGATAATTTGATAGTCATGATGCTGATTAGCATTCTTACAGTGTATAATATATGCAGTATATTTGTATGAGCTTATATTCATTGCTTGCAAAGAGCTTTTTGTCTATTGCAATAAGAGTTTTTTTTTTACAACCCAATAAAGTTGCTGCTTTTATTGACCAATACTTTGTGGCTTTGTAAAGTAACTTGGAAGAGGTTATTTGCCTTACTCAGGAACACTAAAGTTTAGGCAACAGGGCTGTGGCCAAATCCCCTGTACTTCTCCACTACCCTAGGTTCCACCTTAACTTCTGCATTTTAGAGTGTTAACTTCCATCATTTATTAGGATTATTGTTTTCCTTGTTTAGAACCAGACAGTGGCTCTAGTTTGGAAGGTTGGCAGATGGTCTCTCAAGAGCTCCTTGGTCTCCTCCTCTGCAAATTCCCTCCTTTGGAATTTGACATGAACCCACCAGTGAATAACCTACACTCCTGAGAAATACCCAAAGAAAAGGTTTTTTATTTTATTTTTTATTTTATGCCAGTTATCACAAATAAAAAAATTGCAAGTATGATCTCTGCTAAGGAAATAGAGTTGATTAGTAAGGGTAACTGCGAGTTCTGTTGACATTTTGCACACTGGTTTCTGACACAAAGCAAGTGCAGAAACGGTCACACCCCCTCCCATCTTAGAGTCCAGGAGACCTTAAGAAGAAACAAGTCCTCAGGGCTGTGACCCATCTTACCCAGCACCTCCTGTGGGTCAGTAGAGCGTGAGTGCCTGTGATGGGGAAGAGGAGTGGCCCTCCCATGAGCACAGGTGGATCAGCTGCAATCTGAGGTTTCAGAGGCCATTGGAGGTAACTTCGGTTCTCTAGAGACAATCTTGGAATACATGATGGTGCTCAGAAAAGATCTATACAGTGGAGCATAGAAGAAGCAGCAGGGAACAATGTGGACTCCTTCCTTTTGCCACCATCACGTCAAGGTCCTGACCGACCAGCCCCATTCAGATCTCTGCTTTCTAACTGCTTGTTGGTCATCCACATGCGATACTAGATGCCAGAACATTAGTGATCCTGAAAACCCTCCCTGGGAAGGTAGCACTTTCTCAGCTCTGGCACCGGGTTAAAAAAAAAAATCTGTCTCAATCACAGAATATGAGTGCAATTTTGCTAATGCCACTAAATCACTAAAACACCCAATTTTGAGTTATATAAATTTAAGTTGAAAGAAATAAAACTCAGAAATAGTATTAAATAAAATTAAAACTCAGGTTGTTTGGTATAGCAAATGAAGCAGGACAAAGAAAAATAATAATCTTTAAGATTTGTAACATGTTACAAGGAGAAAATGTCCAGAATTATGAACAACAGTCAAAGGTTAATTAGAGAAAATTTGGGTCTGGATGGATGACTCAGTGGTTAAGAGCATTTGGTGTTCTGGCATAGGACACAGGTTTGGTTCCAGAACCCACAAGGCAAGTCATAGCTTTCTGGACCTCCAGTTCAAGGGGATCGGACTGTCTATCCCAGTCTCCATAGGCAACAGAAACACACATGCACACATACACACACACAAACATGTACATGCAGGCAAATTACTTATAAAAGTAAGCAAATATTTTCCTTTTAAAAAGTCAAATGAATGGGCCAACCCCTCCCTCAGTGAGCGTTTGACCGCATACACGTGCACACACTACTTAGGCGTGTGCACGTCTGCTATCAATTCATGTAAGCTAGTATGAGACTGAAATATCGATTTTATTTAACCTATTAGGTTGGGACAAGGAAATATGGGAAAAGCATCGTAGTGCATGGATGGACCTGCACAAAGACCATAAAATGTCCAGTCGCCTACAAACTCATAAAGATCCGCATTCCCCCAACCCCCTCCCCCCCGCAAAGCTCAACAAACCCAAAAGGCAAGTGGTCACATTGACTGCACAGACGGAGGATTCTGGTCCCTGCCTTCTCTGGTGTCCACACGAGCAGATATGTCTTTCTTCAAGCGAGAGAGCTGCTGCTGCTACCAGGATTTGGGGCATAACAGAGGTGGGAACGTGAAATGATAAGACATGAGAATGGCAAAGCAATTGAAATCTTGATTGCCTCACTTAAAGCTTCTTCCTAAAGGTTGCCTTTCAGTGGCTTGAGTTACCCTGGGTCTTGAATGACCAGTTCTGTGCTGAACACTGCTGGGAAGGATGGAAAGTGAAAACACAACAGCATTAATCATTACAATGAGCACGGTGGTGATTGGCAATGCAAGTTAACCGCGTGCTACTGCGGCCAACTCTGTGAGGGTCAGGAAGACAGGGAGGGATGTGTCTGAAATTTAAGATGTGCTTTTTGACTGATAGATCTAAGTCTACAAAGGTATTAAAGAAGTATTGTGCCATTAGGCAATATGACTCTGTGAGTGTGTGTGTGTGTGTGTGTGTGTGTGTGCATGTAAAATAGTATTCTTTCCTCTTTGCTAGTTATTTCACACAGCTGTAAATAAAGGCGTTTTAATAACTGAACAGTATTTATCAACATGTGAATAGGAGCTAGCACTAATAACACTGGGACGCCATATGCTGACTGAAATTAGTAGAATGTCAAGTATCTTTTTTCATATACATAGTGAGGAGAAATGGGTAAAAACACGTACAGAAGAGTGTTCGTATATGATCCGCACTGGCTTCTTAGGGTAGAAGAACCTCGGGATTGGAAAGAAGCATATTGGCTGGGCGGTGGTGGTGCATACCTTAAATCCCAGCACTGGGAAACAGAGGAAGACACATCTCTGTGAGTCAAGGCCAGCCTGGTCTTTAAGAGCTAGTTCCAGGACAGAAGCCAAAGCTACAGAGAAGCCCTGTCTCAGAAAAAGAAAAAAAAGAAAAGAAAAGAAAAGAAAGAAAACAAGGAAAAAAAGCACACCAACCTCCCTACATTTTGAGTGTTATTTCTTGTATGTAAGTTCAAATTTTCTAAAAGTTAGAAAATGCAGACTCTGAAACATGAGCCCAGCACATCATTTGGCGACTCCCGGGTTGTGAGGAGGCATCTGGAATGCACTCTTTAGATGGGCTCAGGTCACACTGGGTCATTCAGAACACTGTTCTGGCTTCACTCTGACCAACTCTGTCCCTCGTCTCCTCTTGAGCTCGATTCACCAGGACCAGCTTACTCTCTCCATAATAATCCCAAAGGAAAGGATTCACCAAATCTTCTTTCATGAAAGAAATAATACCCCAGAATCACTCAAAGAACCGAATGTCCAGTCCACAGGTATTCAGGTCTGGTCCAGGGGTCTGCTCTTTTGGAAACCTGCAGGCTCAGGACACAAAACCCCTTGTTCTGCAAGGTTGCAAACTTGGAAAATGCCTGCCTCCTTTCTTTCTTGACCACAGAAAGGTAAATACATAAGCAGGTGGGAAACAGGAGAAGATAATAAGGCCCTTTCATCATCAGCAGCTGGAAGGGAGGGCTGTCACTGAGCACACAGACCAACACCATGATGCCAGCTGAGAGAACACACGAACATCAAAGGACAACATCTTGAGGACGACAGTCTCTCCCAGTTCCCATCAGTGCGTGCCCTCTCTATCTACAGGCCTGTCTCGGCACCTTCTGATGACAGCCCTATAAATGCAGGCTGGCTCCTCACTCCCTACACACTGGGCTCCTGCTCACTCTTCCTTCAGGTGATTCTCAGCCATGAAGACACTTGTCCTCCTCACTGTCCTTGCCCTGCTGGCCTTCCAGGCCCAGGCTGATCCTCTCCCAGAAACAACTAAGGAGACTAAAAATGAGGAGCAGTCAGAGGTAGAGAACCAGGATGTGTCCATCTCCTTTGAGGGCCCAGAAGGCTCTTCTATTAAAGATGCAGGTGAGTGGTGGTGCCCATTTTCATATGGGGCTGGGTTCTCTTGAGAGGGTTGAAGTTGTGCCCTGGAATCCCACTGAGGGCTGTGTGATTTAGGTCGGGTTCTCTGTTGGTCCTCTAGGATCTTCATTGTTGTATTCATGAAGTCACAGTGAGTCAAAAAAGTATAGTTGATTTTCTTTATGTTTTTTTTATCTAAAAATTTATCTGTGGGATTGTTTTAAAATATAAAACATATTGATTAGCCCTTTGTCTATCCAATTGATTATTTTTCTATTGGAAGAAAATTCTGCTTTGTTTAAATGAATAGATTTAGGAACCAAATGCCAATGCATGAATGTGTTGGGTTAGGAAGACACTAAGAGTTGAAGGACTGTAAAATGGGTGTCAAGTCGATTGGGATCAACACTTGTTAACTTCTTCCGCAGTGTTTGGAGTTGGTCACGGTGCTGGGTGTGATGTCACCAATGCAAACACACCGGCTTGTACCGTGTATCATATGCCTTCATAGTGTTGTGCACTATTGCACACTGCTGGCTACCATACTTACTGCCTGGTGTTCTGTTTCCTCAGCCACAAGAAGTGTGAAATGCGCCTGTAGAAGAAAATTCTGCTGGTTTTTTGAACAAGTCTCTGGGATTTGCAACAAAGGTCCAGTGATGTACGTATTCTGCTGCCGCTGAGACCAGAGACAAGATCACCATGTGCTCTGAGACCTCTCACCTGCCATTACCCTCATACTTAGCCTCAATGGTGGTCCTCCAATAAATTTCCTTGCAGAAAACTAATCTGTTTCTTTGATGCTTTCTATGTGACTTAGTCAGGACTCTGCCAATCTTCATAGCAGAATCATCAATGCATCCCTTATAAAAGAAGTCTTTTATGTAGCTACAGGTTATTACTCACATCAAGGGTGAGCAGCGAGTAGGTTCAAAGTCACATCTCTGTGACTCTACTCTAGCTCCTTCTCCTGTGTATCAACTCTGCTGTCCTTTACATGGGACTCACCCTCAGAACCATGTCCCACATTCCCACGATCCCTTCTTCTATTGAAGGACATTTAGCTGTTTCCATTCTCCAGCCATTGTGAGCATAGCAGCAATGCACATGACTGACAAGTATCTGTGGAGCAGGATGCTGGGTCATTGGGCGTTTGCCAAGGAGCGGTGCAGCTGTGCCATATGGAGATTTCCTCATGGTCTCTGAGAAGTCTCCGCACTGGTTTCCATGGTTTCTCACAAATTTGCATCCCACCACAGTGAATGAGGGCTCCCCTTTCCCTACACCCTCACCCACATTTGTTATCGGTTGTTTTCTTGATCTTAGCCATTCTTCCTGGGATTGGAGGAAACCGCTAAGTACTCTAACTGTAAGAGTAGACACTACACTTTAAGCATGCTTTTTAGCTATTTTTTATTAGTTCTTTGGATGTTTCTAATAACCCATTAACTTATTGGGAGAACACTCAGCTCTCCTCAGACTCTTCCCAGATCCACTCCCTTCCCTACCTACCCAAGTTCTTTATTTTTTTTTAATCCGTTTGAATGAATTCATGCTGCCCATATGTTTTGGATGTGAGGTTTTTCACATGGCTAATTTACTAGGGGATGCACTCAGAAAGATTCCTCCCCCTCTCTAAGTAGCTAAGACATGGCAATACAAACCCTGCTAGGGGTGGGATTTTTGGACCCAGCTCCCATTTCCCTGCTGAAATTTGGTCAGACTTGGGCTCACACAGTACAGTCATACCACCTTGAAGGTTCCTGATCTCATTTTGGGCATTTTTACATTTTGATTTCTTTTTTGCCAAACTCTCTGCTCAGATCCATAGATCATTTTTCAATTGAGTCATTTTATCAACTGTCTTAGTTATTTTAGCTCTTGTATATCCTGAATAATAATCCTTATCAGATGTATAGCTTGCAAAGGGTTTTTACCACACCATGATCTTCCTCTTTACTGATTATTATTATTATTATTATTATTATTATTATTATTATTATTATTAGTTTACAGAGGTTTTTTAGTTTTATAAGGTCCTATTGTCAACTGTTGGCCTAAGTGCTTAGCCCTGAACACATGGATATATAAGCAACATTAAATGGACTCTGTTATATATACTTGGGCATATATGTAATCTTTTAAAAGTTGGTATATGTATATGTCAGTAATAATTATAATAAAAGTGATAGTAAATTTGGGATGGGGACATGGGGGGAGTTGGAAGAGTGAAAGAGGGCCAGAGGAGAAGTGGAGTAGATACAGTGTTGTTCATATGTGTGGTACTTAGGAAAATGTTTAAAATGAATCTGATATTTAATATAGTATATCGCATATGGCTTCTGATAGAGACCTCACCAAACTCCACATATCTAATAGATACTAAGCCCAATGAAATATCCTCCAGAACCCTGGGATTAGCCCTGGCCACTGTCTTTTTCTCCAGCCTGTGTTTAGTGCACTTCTGGCCTGTTCTGATAACTTATAAATTGGAACACCTCCTGCTTAGAATCCTCAATAAACAGAATCCGAGCCAACAAAACAAAATCCCTCATGAGGGTAACAATGAGGATAACCTTTTAATAATCAAATAAATTTGACTCGCCATAGCTTCATTTTGCTGTTGTCTTATGTTGTCTTTTCTATTTCTTCCTGTATTCTGGGTTCAGGAGCCCTGTACTATCTATCTTTACCATGGAGAGCCATTTGCTTGATATGCATTCTGGTCCTTGAAGGACCAGGTTGTGGTAGACTTTCTGTGTCCTCAAGACCACAGTGTCAGACACTTCACCTACACTCTGTTTTGCACATGTAGAGATGCGATGTGATTCATTGGTTTATTGGATTCCTCCAATCCTTGGAGCCTAAAACAGTCAATGTGTTTTATGCACACACACACACACACACACACACACACACACACAGTTTGTTTCATTTTGGGTTTATTTATTTATTGATTGATTGATTGATTGATTGATTGAGACATTGTTTCTCTGTATAGCCCTGTTGTCCTGGTCACTTTGTAGACCAAGCTGGCCTCACACTCAACAGAGATCCACCTGCCTCTGTCTCCCAATTGCTGGGATTAAAGCTATGTGCCACCACCACCTGGCTAGATATTTTTAAAAATAAATTTTCTGAATCAATAGACAAAAATCAGCATTCCATTGAAGGGCAATTTGTATTTTTGTATGAATTAATGCTCAATTTTCATGGAAAGTATAATTTGCAGATTCTGCTATATTCTTGTTATTGTTCATTTTTGCAGTGTTAATAGCTCTTCATAACTTTAACAAATTAGTACTAGTTCCTCAGTTTTGCAAAATTTTTGAAACCCACTAATTTCCTCCAGCATTAATTTCCACCTACTTTGTAAACCTAGGACACTCTGTATTAGTGATCTCCTGGCATCAACACAGGCCTTCTACATCATGTCCTGAGTCAAGATCACTCTCTCCAAGCAGTGGTTCATGAACTTTGCTATTCTGACATAAACAGCATGTGCATTTGCCCAGGAAGAGCACAGGAATCAGGACAGTTGTAGAAGTTCCTTGGTAGAATTTTTGGGGTCATTTATGTAAACTACCCTATCATCTGAAAATAGTGAGAGTTTGACATCTTTTTTGATTTGTTACCTCTTAATCTCCTTTTGTTGTCTTATTGCTCCAGCTAGAACCTCAAGTACTATATTGAATAGATCAGGAGAGAGTGAACAACCTTGTCTTGTTCCTGATTTTAATGGGATCTCTTTATATTTCTTTCTATTTATTTTGATGTTGGTTGTAAGTTTGCTGTATATTATATTGCCTTTATTGTGTTTAGTAATGTTCCTTGTATTTCTTTTTGTTTCTCCAAGACCTTTATCATGAAGGGATGTTGTATTTTGTCGAAGGCTTTTTCATCATCCAATGAGATGATCATGTGGGTTTTTTTTTTCAGTTTGTTTATATGGTGGATTACATTGACAGATTTTCATATGCATCTCTGGAATGAAGCCGACTTGATCATGGTGGATGATGGTTCTGATTTGTTCTTGGATTCGATTTGCCAGTATTTTATTTAGTATTTTTGCATCAATGTTCATGAGTGAGATTGGTCTGTAATTCTATTAGTAATGTCTTTCTGTGGTTTGGGTATAGGTAATTGTAGTCTCATAAAAAGAGTTTGGCAATGTTCCCTCTGTTTCTATTGTGTGGAACAATTTGAGGAGTATTGGTATTAGTTTTTTAAAAATCTTGTAAAATTCTGCACTAAAACCATCTGGTCCTGGGCTTTTTTTCAGTTGGGAGACTTTTGATGACTGATTCTATTTCTTTAGCAGTTATATGTCTATTTAATTTGTTTATCTGGTTTTGATTTAATTTTGGTAAGTGATATTTATCAAGAAAATTATCCATTTTCTTTAAGTTGTCAAGTTTTGTTGAGTATAGGTTTTCAAACTATGGCCTGATGATTCTCTGGATTTCATTCATGACTGTTGTTATGTCCCCCTTTTCATTTCTGATTTTGTTAATTTGGATATTCTCTCTCTCTCCCTTTTGGTTAGTTTGAATAAATGTTTGTCTGTTTTGTTGATTTTCTCAAAGAACTAACTCTTTGTCTCATTGATTCTTTGTATTGTTTCTATTTTGTTGATTCCAGCTATCAATTTGATTATTTCCTGCCATCTAGTTCTCTTGGGTGAGTTTGCTTCTTTTTGTTCTAGAGTTTTCAAATGTTCTGTTACCTCACGGGTGTGGGATATTTAGTGCTATGAACTTTCCTTTTAACACTGCTTTCATTGTGTCCCATAAATTTGGCTATGTTGTCTGGTCATTTTCATTGAATTTTAGGAAGTCTTTAATTTCTCCCTTTAATTCTTCCTTGACCCATTGATGATTCAGGTGAACACTGTTTAATTTCCATGTGTTTGTGGGCTTTCTGGAATTAGTATTGCTTTTTTTATTGTATAAGTTTTATTTTTCTCATTTACTATTTTTACATCTTATGCACAAATATTTTTATCTGAGTAAAAATAGAAAATAACTTCTTTGTGTAAAATTACAAAAAAAAACAAAGAAATACATACTTGTTATTATGGTAGTATAAGTGTCTTTATTTAAAGAGTTAAAATGTATGCAAAAATTCTCCTCCCTTCTATAAAAGACAGAATATTATTTTCCTGGGAATAAATGAAGTATTGAGATATCAACATTGTTGTAGTCTTTAGATTAAAGACATTAAGTCAGACACAGGTTTGTTTTGCAGTTACAAATTTTAAGACATTGTTGTGCTACCTCAAGGATACACAAGGTTCTTTACAAAAGGCAGTGGCGTACATGGCAAACGCAGAAAATGACAGAACTTGACGAAAATACTTGGCAGTATACTCCTTAAAAAAATAACCACATTCAAGTATCACCTTTTACCTGGGAGAAAAATTAAAATAATTTTCCCAATTTATTTGTAGGGATTGACACCGAAATGAATGTAATCAGTTAATTCATCATGTGAAGATGAACCACACACAGCAATTCTGCCTACCTAGCTGGACTTTTCCAATGCCAGCACAAATGTTCACATTTCAGGCTAGCACATGTATAAAGCAATGTAAACATCACATTGAAAAATTGTTTTAAAACAAAAATGAATATTTCATTATTCTTGAACTTACAAGGTACAAAAAATGGTCAAGCCATCTTTA